ATAGTCCTTGGAAAAGGAAGGGAGATTTTCCATGGAACCCCTTGATGATGCTAGTGTGGATTTCTTTAAGGTGTTCAGGATCAGAAAACAAAACTGGCTTTCACTGTTATATGAGGACATGTGTGGTTTTGTGTGGAGTGGTGTGGTGTGGGGCCTAGAGGTGGAGTTCTTGCCTCACAATCAGGAGGCTGTGAGTTCAATCCTAAGGAGTGGCAGATATTTCTCTCTCTGGCACAGTGAGGCTATATCTGCCGAACAAACCTCCACATTGGTGACAAGAAGGGCATCCGGCCAGGCCAGTAAATACTCTTCTAGTGCCATTCAGTTGCCCAGACTCCACCCCGATGCAAGGGATTAGGGGGGGGGGTTCATTAAAAGAAGATTATGTGTGTTTGTATGTGTGTGGGGGTGAGGGTGTTGGCTTAGCACATTGTGTGTATCCAGTCATGCTTGGTGGGGGAAAATGGCCTTGTTGTATTCAGTGAAATTTGAAAAATCAACCTTTCACAGAGACCTAGAATTGAAACTGATTTCCCCCCCATTCTTGGGGAGTTTTCTTTAACAAGGTTTATTGAGATGGATGCGGTCAGGTTATAAGAATGCCATCACCTGGACTATTTCCAGTTTAGAACCATTGTATTCCCAGTGGATGTTGTCTTCTCTGATCCAATGAGAAAACCCCTCTCTTCACAGATAATGGAGAAGCTCGCAGCTATCTGGTCCTAGTGATGGTGATGAGGATATTATCCATTCAGTCAAGTCCAATTCTTGGTGATGCTGTGGGCCAGGTCTTGCCATATTCTCCCGAACTCATATGGCTTCTTTGAGTCTGTCGAAAAACTGCTTAGAGAGAGAGCTGTCTATGGAGTTTCTCCATCATCCAAGTCATGATTGTCCCAGAGGTGCTTTTTTCAAGAGGCAACTGGACTTTCTGTTTTTTTCTCTTGCAAGACGTTTCGCTTCTCATCCAAGAAGCTTCTTTAGCTCTGACCGGATGGTTGGGAATAGAAGGATTTATATTCCTTGCAGACAGCTGGATCCTTTTACAGCAGGGGATCTCAACTGGAGATGCTCGGACATATTCCAGGGAGCGCTAACCCTAACCCAAACCCAAACCCAAACCCAAACCCAAACCTAACTATGACCTGGATGAGTGAGAATCTCTACAGGCTCAAAGAAGCAATGCAAATCTTTGGGACGTTCATAGGGTTCCACCACAAAACCGCGTTCAACTAAAGGGCGCTCGACGAAACCGCATAGCTGACGTCATCACAGTGCGACAACAGCGTGGAGAAAAAAGCACGCTGTAAACGCTAAACCTAAAATTAACCCCTAAACCTAAACCTAAACCTAAACCTAAACCTAAACCTAAACCTAACCCTTAACCTAACCCTTAACCTAACGCTAAACCTAATCCTAACTCTTAACCTAACCCTAACCCTAACCCTTAACCTAACCCTAACCCTAACCCTAACCCTAACCCTAACCCTAACCCTTAACCTAACCCTTAACCTAACCCTAAACCTAACCCTAAACCTAACCCTAAACCTAACCCTTACCTTAACTTGAATCGGCTTGCTTTCAAAGCGCTATTTAAAGCACCCTTCTTTCTCCGCGCTCGCTGTTGTCGCCCTGTTGATGACGTCAGCGACGCGGTTTAATCGGGCGCGCTTTAGTTGAGCGCGGTTTTGTCGTGCCACACGTTCATAGAACGTTGAGTCGTTCTATCCTCTGGTTGGTGTCAGCTTTCATGGTGTCCAGCCATCATGTTCTGGTCATAAAATTTTCTAATTTTTTTTTAATTAATCTGGGGGAAACTGACTCATCTCCAATGTCATTTGGATCAGGGAGGTACCCCAGTTGGCTCTAGCCTTGGAAGAGTTTGCAAATATGGGCTTCCTGTTTTCCTCATCTTTCTCCTCCTTTCAATAATCAGAACAAGGAAAGGGAGACTTCATAAGAGCCCCTTATCGACAGACTCCAGGGCTGTAAAAATGTGCTGATTTGCAGCAGAAAATTGAAAGTTGCCGCAATGAATCATCCTTGGGCACAATAGGCATCAGCGGTTTAGAGCAATCCTTCATTAGTCAGAGGGGGAAAAAATCTCACGGCTGAATAAACAGCATTTTGATCGAATTTGCCGCCTGTCGCTCACCCATACATCTGATGTGATCCAACGTGTTGGCCACAGATTTCCTTTCTCCCTTTTGAATTTTATTTCAGTACAAGAGGGGCTACAGGCAGTCCTCAACATATGATCGCAATCAAACCCCAATTTTATGTTGCTAAGTGAGATATTTGAGTTTTGCCCCATTTTATGATCTTTCTTGCCACAGTTGAATCGCCGCACTTGTTAAGTTAGGAACATGTGGTCAGGTTTCCGAAAGATGTCCTAATTGATTCATGAGCCTCGAGCCAAGTTTCAAAAGAAAACCAGTGATTTATTAGGAGCACCATGTTGGCAACGCTGTCTTGCAGTCGGATCTAAGCCTCCTTTGAATTATAGCTGAACTTTACCCCTGTTCCTTCCTTCCCCTCAGTCTGTGTCATGAATCACATTCACCAATGAGGTGCACCCCTCCCAAGTCTGCTGTAGTAATCTGAGGTCCTACTCTAGCTGAAGATATGCGTGGAATGCACTCTCCCCCTTTCCTCACCACGGCAACCTTATGAGTTGACATACGGTTGTTAAACGAATCATCATCTTTGCTTGTCTGGAAAGTCACAAAAGTTGATCACATGACCCGGAGACTCTGCAACTGTCATAAATATGAGCCACTGTCTAAATTTTGCCAAGCATCTGAACAGAAGACAGGAATAATCTCGACTTCGAACCGTCTGTTTAAGTGACTGTTCAACTTACAACGGCAATGAAGAAGTGACGTATGACCATTTGTTTTATACTTACGACCATTGCAGAATCCCTGTAGTCACGCGATCAAAATTAGGATGTTTGGCAAATTGGCTCATACTTACAACAGTTGCAGTGTGCTGAGGTCATGTGACCCCCTTTTGCGACCTTCTGGCAAGGGAAATCCACGGGGAAGTCAGATTCACTTAACAACTGTGTTATGTCAGAACGGCAGTGATTCACCTAACAACTGTTTCCGAGAAAGGTCATAAAATGGGGCAAAACTCACTTAACCAACTGTCCCGCTTGCAAGAGAAATTTTGGGCTTAATGGCGGTCGTAAGTTGAAAACTAACCATACAAGGAGAAACAGACAGGGATGCAAAGATCTTCAGGTGTATTTCGGCTGTTGCTGTTGTGGCCTGCCAGGGATCAGCGGAGCTGGCAGCAGATTCAGACAGTGAAGTGGTTGAGGAGGAACATGGGCCCGTCCTGGAGTCTGGGGAAGGCTCTGATGAGGGCTCTGTGTCAGAGACAGAGAGGGGGCCAGGGCCATATGCCAGTTATCAGTGCCTTCAGAATCAGATATCAGTGAGGCAGAAGAACAGCTGGAGCCTGTTCCCAGTATGCGTATGCACAGAGTTGTCAGACAAAGGGAACAGCTAAAGAACGGGGGTCGATTTGGGAGTAAGGCCTCAGGTGGACGATGAATGGCCCCTCCCAGAGGAAATAAAAGGGGAGCGAAAGGGGAGTGTAGTTTGCAGGAGACCATTAGTTCGCTTAATTGGTTCGTGACTCTCCGAGGCTCCTTGCCAAGTTGTGCAGATATCGGCCTGTCAGCTCTCCAAGCCGGATAAGGTCTGTGACAGTAAATCCTCCCTTGAAAGACTTTGCTGGAAGTGAATGAGCAGAATTCACAGTCAATTAATAAAAGAGTTTTTGTCGGGACGAGGAGTGTGCTTCATGCTCTCGGGATGCCTCGGTCAGAACAGCGTATGCAGGATACACGTGCCCCCCTCCGGTATCTTTGCACAGACCTTCCCCAGCTTCTCATGTGTTCTAGACGCAGACTGCCCACCTGCCGCTCTCCAAGGCTTGCCGACATTCAATCAGTTATGAAGATTTCCTTGCCCTCAGCCAGCATGGAT